CACTCGCCTCAGCCTCCCAAAGGCGCGGGATGACAGGCTGAGCCACCGAGCCCGGCTTCCAAAAATTTTCAAAATGACTTCCAACTTGGCTTTAAGATGTGCAACTGCGATACTTTTCTCCTCTCAGGACTCTTCTCTTGGAGTACAGCAAAACATGGAAAGAGAATTATACAACCAGTCTTTTCTGAGGTCTAGACAGTCTAAATAAGAACACATTCTTGACCACTAGTGAGTTTCCATCACCCACATTAAAAATACCCAGATGGAAATATAAGAAAGACTGGAATATTGTCCCTTCGCTGTATCATAAAGAGAAGTCAGGTTCACTGAAGGCTGGAATTGGACTCTTTTTCTATATTCAGAGTAGTTTCCCGTAGACAGAGCTATGAAAATGCAAGTATCCAACTTGCCTCCATTGAGCTTCCAAGGGATCTCTGGTGGGGCCTCAATCTCATGTCTTCTCAGGAAGGTAACTATTGGGCAGTTCCAGCTCTAAAATCTCTACACCAAACACAAGGCCATGCTTTTTTTAGCTGGAGCCTCCATTCTAAGTCTCAAACAGCCCAACTGCGAGAGGCGTTTGACTCCGCACTGTGCAGTGTGGCTGTACGGTGAAACCACAGAGGGAGTGAAAGCAAATTCAGTGCAACAAATTCCAAGAAAGCATGGAACTTAAAACTGCCTCCAGGGGTGCATTCCTAGTGTGTATTATGCATTAGGCTGGACAGCGGGTATAAGGTGTACTGATGGAAGCAACGTAGGCCATGCTTTAGAACAGGAAGCCCCAAGTTTCTCACAGGCACCTATGGGGCCACAGGGGGATCTCACCCAGATATTCCTCGGCTCCGGAACTGCAAACATGAAACTACTGTCCTAAGAGGAAAACAAAGCTACAAGAGGCCAACTTTGATCACAGTCTCCAGTCGGTCACAAAAGCATGGTCACAGGATCACTGGGTCACAGCATCACTGGGTCACAGTACGATCCTGTGACACATCCCAAGGTAACCGCTAACCACGCTCAAATGCTCCCAATCAGTCCCACGAGCCCACGCAGGGACAGCCAGGGACGCCCCGGCGTGCACACCCCCCCCCCGGCCCCGTCACACGCGCGCACAAACGCTCGCAATCACACCCCACGCACACAATCGCACACTCGCCCACAACCACTCTCCCCAGCAGACGATTTACACAAAAGCCGAGGGCTTCTGCCCCCCATGCCGATCTGCGATCCAGAAACTCAAGTTTCCTGCCGCGAGCTCCTCTCGCATCCAGACCCGGGTCACCTCAACTCACCACCCAGAAAACCACCACAAGGTCAGCGGAAAATGAGCCAGAGGTCGAAGTTCATGAGAGACCTGGGGTCCGGGAAGAAACGCGGTCCAAGTCGGAGTCAAACCAACTTTGAGGCAAACGCAGGGAGCGCGGGCCGCAAGGACCGCGCAGCGCCTCACGGGCGGCCCCGGAGACTCCTGGGAGCTCAGGCCCACGCGCGAGTGCGCAGGCGCAGACGGCTGGTCCTTGGCCGGGGCTGAGGCGTGGTGGGTTCTGGGGGCTCTGAGGAGGCCGGGGAAGGGCCTGGAAGCTCTATTCCTGGCGAGCAGACTAAGGAAGCGGAACCGGGTGGGGAGACCAGGGCGGAAACCGGGAGTCCGACCCGGGCCTGGTAATTCTGAGGAGGGACTCGGGACCGCGGCATCCAGACGCTCAGATAGTTACGCGCGGGGCCTTGGGCGTGGTCCGTGGGCGTGACCTTGATGGTGACCGCGAGTGTGACCCGGAGCGAGCTCAGCTAAGGGGGATTTTTGCCTGTTTTGACCCGTGGGAAGCTCCGTCGCTGGGAGCGGGTCCCGGCGAATAGCGGGCGCTGCGTGTGTGTGTGTGTGTGTGTGTGTGTGTGTGTGTGTGTGTGTGCGCGCGCGCGCGCGTGCGCGCCGAATGGGGGTGGCCTGCTGTGCCCAACCTGCTGCATTTTAGGTGCATGCCACTCTTTGGGATGCTGCTGCAGATTGGGCGTGAAAAGGGGACGAAGTCGTGTTGCTGCGTGAGGTTTCCTCTGCATCTGTTTTTGGATTGGGTGTGAGTCGTCTATGTGACTGTGGAGAACTGGAAGTGATTTGAGAATGGGATCGTGACTTTGCCTGGCATTGTGTAATGTGCTGCCTGAGGTTATGAATGACATTTGGGGCCTATGGATTGCTGGTTTTCTGAAGGATGTTTGATTGGCTATGACGATGCCTGTGTTTGTAACCTACCGTTATTTCTGATGGTTTTGTGACCAGGGTAGCCTAAATATTTGAATGATTGAGGAACTCTGTGAGACCATGTCTAGTTGGTTATATGTCAGATTTGATTATATGAATAGTAGTCATTAAGCCTGCCTCCAAAATTGTAACTAAGTAGCAATTTAGCAAGTAAAATAGAGGTATAAATATTGGAAAGGAAGAGAAAAAATTTTCATAATTCCCAGATGACAAGGTTCATTACCTGGAAGCACCACATTAACTAAAGCCATCGTGTTGAATAGAATTCCTTGGGGAGCATGTCTGAAGAAAAATATTTTACCTTAACTACCGTTTTCAACACTTCGATACGAGTGAGGTTTCTTCCTCCTTCAGCATTATGAGATAATAAAAAGTACTTGATCTACTTTTAATCACAAAGCCAGGCTCATTTTAGTAATTAAAACAGTTATTTTGCTACCTGAAATATTCACTGGAGCAGTCAGCACTTCAGACTTCATTTAGCAAAGTACTATTCTCTCTGCCTGGAAGCCTACAGAGTACCTGATCATTTTCTTTTCTATTTCCATACCTGTACTACTAAAAAGTATTGTTCAGGTCGGGCTCGGTGGCTCAGCCTATAATCCCAGCACTTTGGGAGGCCAAGGCGAGTGGATGGCCTGAGCCCGCAGGTTCAAGACCAGCCCGGACAACTTGGCGAGACCTCGTCTCCACAATAAACCAAAAATTAGCTGAGTGTGGTAGCACCCACCTGTAGTTCTGGCTACTTGGAAGGCTGAGGCCGGAGGATCACCTGAGCCCAGCAGGTTGACGCTGGGATGGCTGTGAGTGTGCCACTGCATTCCAGCCTGGATGGCAGAGTGAGACTCTAACTCAAAAAAAAAAGTATTGTTCAATAGTTCGTTCTTAAATTAACAATTAGTAAATTAATATAATTATTTCAGTAACTATGCTTCTTTTCTTTTTTTTTTTTTGAGTTGGAGTCTCACTGACACCCAGACCGGGAGTGCAGTGGCCGCTCCCGGCCACCGCAGCCTCGACCTGCTGGGCTCCGGCGATCCTTCCGCCTCAGCCTTCCCAGTAGCCGGAGTTACAGGCATGTGCTAGCACGCCCGGCTGATTTTTTTTTATTTATTGTAGAGATGAGGTCTCGCTAAGTTGCCCAGGCGGGTCTCGAACCCGCGGGCTCAGGCAGTCCACTCACCTCAGCCTCCCAAAGCGCGGGATTACAGGCTGAGCCACCAAGCCCGGCAACTATGCTTCTTAAGTGATGTGATACAGGTAAATTAATAAAGAGATCAAGTAGAAAAATGAAATAGAAAGTCCAGATATTCTCAAGCATACAGGGAAATGTCATATATGATAAAGATGGCATTTCACATCAGCTGAAGAAATATGGATTAAACAATATGTAGTATTCCCAAGCCACAAAACATTAGAGAAAATATTTTTACAAGATAAAGACACTTTAATATTCATATGAGAAACTAAGAAAAGTTATTTTCTACTTAAAATACATTTAAAAAAAACAAATAATGTCCACTAATTAGAAAATAAAAACCAAAGAGAAAAATAGGAAGATGCCATTTTAAAAAAGAAATATGGAATGTCTCTAACCTTATTAAAGTAAGCATATTCTCAAGTACAACCAAGACCTGCCAGGCAAAGATTTAAAAGTTTTCAACTGTATTCCTCAGGGCATAGGAGGATGTTCTTATGCACTGCTAGTGACTGTAAATTGGCAGAAAGTCCATGAAGAACAATTTGGAAATATTCAGTAAACCTGTGCTCAGTGGGAGATGGAAGGTAGAGCAGCAGAAGAAAAACAGTATTCCTTCTCGTCAAGCTATAACGAGTTTCCCCAAATCCTTTCTATCTCACCGAAAGACGAGGTTTCTGGTATTTCCGAGGTAGTAGGAAAATTTGTCCATTTTCCCACTAACCTCCATCCTGAACTTCTGAAGGATGAGCAAGTGCTGCTGAAGCAGTAAACATTAAAGCAGACAACTGAGTTATTCTGGGAGATCCAAATCAAGTATGATCTCACATCCTTGTATCCTCCATCTTTGCTTTCTCAGGACTCTTCCCTCTTCCAAAAGAAGAGCTCAAAAAAGAAGGCTCATCTTATACAAATCTCAAAGCCATGTCTCAGGTGAGATGATGTTTCCTCTCTTTCTGAAATAACTTTTTTCAGGGCATATGAACATTTGTTTCCTTGTCCTTAAACTTCCTGGACATTGAGGTTTGCTTCCATGAAACTGGTCTTCAGTCAGGGTTCAGATTAGGGTGAGGCAAGCAAGTGGCAGAGGCTGCAACATTTAGGGAGTGCTCTCAGGGCTGTGCCTTCCTAAATGTTCCCGCTGTGGGGGCCTTGCCTGCCTCACCCTAATCCCAGCCCTATTCCCAATTTCTCCTTTCCAACCAAAAAAACGTAAGTCTTCCCCAGGTGCACCTTCTAGTTGTAGTCAGTGTTCATATATTGATTGGGTATATCATTCATCGTCTCCTTTCTCAGTCTTCTCACAAAAGTACTGCTGGAGCGGAAAGGTATTATCTTGATTTAAATGGGAATATATTACTTGAATGAATCTACCTTGTCGTGACACTGCTTTGAGATCTAAGTTGTGAGTAGTCAAGGAGCAGCCATGGAAAAACCTTAATCATCTCCACTAACCTAGGTTTTGCAATGATACAATGGGAAGTAGAATTGGTAGATCATGTTATTAGTTTGTGGAACAATGACCGTGCTTTGCAAGGTTTTTAGGACAGTGATTTGATTGTAAGCTTGTAGAGAAAACTGAAGTTTTGTGTTCTTCCTCTTTGATCTTCCTATTTTATCCATGTCTGTCAGAAGTTCCTCCAAATTGGACCTGATGGTGAAAACCTTTCTAGTGTTCCAATGCTATTATAGATTTATTCTTATATTTTTAGTTTCTTCTAACTTTTTATATGTGAGTGCAGGAGAAGGGAATACATTATGTTAGTCCACTCTTGAAATATTCTACTCTTAAACAATACTTTGTCTTGTTTTCATATCTTCCAGAAAATTCCTTTTCATCTACCAACCTTTAAAATATTGATTTTTCCCAGATACTAATTGGTTGTCTTCTCTTCCCAATCTCTTTTTTCTCTGTGCATAATCAGATTCACTCTGAAGTCTACACTTATGTGATTCTGTTGAATTCTCAAATACCTCTCTCCATTCTAGACCTCTATCCAGAGTGTCAGAAGCATTTATTTATTCAACCTCCAATAGCTATCGCCACCTGTGTGTTCTGCAGCTACTTAAAGTACATTTCCAAGGTTTATCTCATTACCTCCTCTGGTCCAACCTATTCTTCTGTTTCCCACTTCTATTTTCTAGTCCCAGCAGCCATGCACTTGCCTATGCAGGTAACCCAAGAGCTATGCCTCTCTTTTCCTAGTCTACAACCAGTTTATGACCAATTCCGTTGTAGCACATTATTTAGGAATCAGTTTTCCTGTCATCCCCTAAGCTACCTTAATGGAGGAGGCAATTAACTGTGATTATTAATGTTAACAATAACTGGGATTATTCAATTGTCATTCTCACCTAACACACCTTAAGCCTTCTCCAGTCTCCAAAGGTATTGCCTCTAAAGTTTTAATTTTATCACGATATGTGTATTGATTTAAAGTTTCTTCATGTTCTCTCTATTTCTTAAAGCAGCAGACCCAAAATGGGGCATGCATTACAGTGGAATGTACAAGACAGTATAGTAGAAGGAAAGAAAATACTAACAGTTTACATTCAAGAGCAGTAATCATTAACAATGTGGATTTCCATTAGTGCCTATTAATGATTTATAAATAACTGCGATGTTGAGAATGTGTGCACTACATTTTTAAGACCACTGCTCTGTAGGAAAATAAAAAAAAATCTAATAATATGCCATAATACACCCACTGCCTACTTCCATATACTTTTCTCCTCTTAGAGCTCAAAAACTGTTTCCTATCATACAGTACCTTTTGCTGTTTCCTGAATTTACTAACTGGTTTTTTTCTCCCCATGAATTTTTAAAAGCTGATGCCCCGTATTCCTACAAAACAAATTCATTGTGAGTACAAAACTTTTATGTCCTCAACGAAGCCTCGGGGTACAAAGTGAAATTTTTGCTTGCTTTGTGACACTTTACCCTGTGTGTATTTCTGTTATTGCATCTGTAATACTGAGTGCATGTATTTTACATGTATGCCTCTCTCCTAACCTGTAACTTCTTATGAGCAGGGCCAGGGTTTTATTCATTTTGATACACCAGGCAACCATTCACGTTCTGGACAAATCATGTGAACTAAGTATAGCTAGTGTGAGATAATAAATAAAGACAAATGATTGTATCTTCAGAGAATTTTATACAATACAAAGCACAAAATGAAAAAATTAGTCTGGCTACTGAACATTGTCAGAACTAGGTCTCCAATATCTAGTTCTCACCCATTTCCAATCACTTCAGGATGAACTAGCGTATGCCCTTACAGGGATCAGTGTCATTCAAGGATGTGACTGTGGACTTCACCCAGGAGGAGTGGCACCAACTGAACCCAGCTCAGAAGGCCCTCTACAGAGATGTGATGTTGGAAAATTATTGCCACTTCATATCTGTGGGTAAGGAACACTCCTTGAATCCTTCAGTGTCAAGAATCTCCTTTCAAGAATTCCTGAAACATATGAAATTTTGAATTTCAGGGATCAGAGATGATGAATCCCTTTTTGTTAGCAGAAAATACGATTATATCCTCACTTGCATATAGTGTAAGGTATTAACTTTGATTAAAGCAGCAGACCCAAAATGGGACATGCATTACAGTGGAATGTACAAAACAATATATTGGAAGGAAAGAAAATACTAATGGTTTACATTCAAGAGCTTTGATTGTTATTTTGATTGTTACTGTATACCTCATCTGCTACCTTGAAACTGTATCTTCCTCTTACTTCAGTAGTTTTAAAGTCCAAACAGCTCAGACCAAGTCTTATTTTTCATTCTCAGGGTTTCATATGACTAAGCCTGATATGATCCGCAAGTTGGAACAAGGAGAAGAGCTTTGGACAGAGAGAATTTTTTCAAGGCAGAGCCACCTAGGTGAGTGTACAAATATAGTCCAGTGGATATTAAACCTCAGATTGTTGATGTCTTTTAATGTTTTGGGGGATCTATTTTTTAATTATGGTAAAATACACATAATATTAAGTTTATCATTTTAAACATTTTTAAGGATATAGTTCAGTGGCATTAAGTACATTCACATTGGTGTGCAACAATTACCACCATCCATCTTCAGAACACTTCACCTTGCAAAACTGAAACTCTGTCTCCATTAAACAGTAACTTCTCTTTACCCCCACTCTCCAGACCCTGGCAACTACCATTCTACTTTCTGTCTCTATAAAATTTACTACTCTAGGTAGCTCTGATAAGTGGAATCATATAGTATGTGTCCTTTTTGTGGCTGGCTTATTTCACTTAACATAATGCTCTCAAGTTTCATCCACGTCTTAACATGTGTCAGAATTTCCTTCCTTTATTTTCCTACTATTCCATTATATATGCATATAACACATTTTGCTCATCCATTTATCCATCAGTGTATACTTGGGTTACTTCCGTTTTTTGGCTGTTGTAAATAATGCTGCTAATGAACATGAATGTGCAAATACCAGTTTGAGTCCCTGCTTTCAATTATTTAGGATAAATACCCAGAAGTAGAATTGCTGGATCATACGGCTTAATTTTGAGGAGTTCACTATACTGTTTTCCATAGCAGCTGCATAATTGTACTTTCCCACCAACAGTGCACAAGGGTTCTATTTCTGCACATCTTCACTGACACCTGTTTTATATTTTTTTGATAATAGCCATCCTATTAGGGATCTATTTTTAAAGGTCTGAGATCTGTGAAGTGCTTATACATGGCTGACTTTCATCCCTCTAAAATCTAAATTGTAGTTGTGAATATCACTCTCCATGTAAATGTTTTCCTTCTTTGCCTTGTATTTATAAAGGTAGTGGCTGCTATTACCTTGCCAAGGATCTATTCCATGTTTTGTAGGTATAATGTACATAGAAATCTTAAGTGTAAAGTTCTTTGAGTTCTGACAGAAGTATAAATCCCTCTACCCTACACTCCAGTCAAGATAAAGGACATATTCATTAACCCCTAAGTTCCATCAGGCCTCTTCCAAGTCAGTAGCTCCCATTAGGATAATTACAGTATTAATGTCTACCAACAGAGATTAGTTTTGTCTATTCTAGACTTTTTCATGTGTGCTTTCTTTCACTCTGCTTAATGTCTGGGAGATTTATACATGTTTTTTGCATATATCAGTAGTTTATTATTTTAATTGTAGAATAGTATTCAATTGTATGAATATACCAGTTTGTTTATGCATCTCCTATTGAAAGATATTTGGGATGTTTCCAGTTTAGAGCTATTAAGAAAAAAGTTATTTCTTGTAAAAGTCTTTTGTGGACATATATGTTTATTTTTTCCTCAGTAAACACCTAAAAGTGATATGCTGATTCATAAGGCAGGTGTATGTTTCACTTTTTAAAGAAATTAACAGCTTTTAAAAGTTACTATACTATTTTAAACTTTCATCAGCACTACATGAAAATTTTGATTGCCCCATTTTTGGTCTACATTTGATGTTACCAAAATTTTAATTTTGGCTGGGTGTAGTGGTTCAAGCATGTAATTCCAGCACTTTGGGAGGCCAAGGCAAGAAGATTGCCTGAGCCCAGGGGGTCAAGACCAGCCTGGGCAACTTGGTAAGACCTCGTTTCTCCAATAAATAAAAAAATTAGCCAGGTATGATGATGTGTGCCTGTAGTTCCAGTTACTTGAAAGGCTGAGGCAGAAGGATCACCTGAGCCCAGCAGGTCGAGGCTGCGGTGGCTATGAGTAGCATGCCACTACACTCTAACCTGGGCAACAGAGTGAGACTCTTGACTCAAAAAAAAATTCATTTTGGCCATTCTGGTAGTATATCTTTGCAGTTTTAATTTAGATTTATTTTACAACTAATAATGTTAAAAACTTTTTCGAGTGCCTTTTATATCAGAGACATCTGTTCAAATGTTCTATCCATTTTTTTATTTGGGTAGTATTTTGTTCAATATATGTAGATATTTCCCCTAGTCTATGACTTGCCTATTCATTTTAATCGTGTCTCTTCATGAACAGAACTTTTTAACTTTGATGAGTCCAATTTATCATCTTTTCCTTTTATAATTAGTTCTTTGACCTCCCAAACAAGTATTTATCTCTTTTAGGTTGTAATAATGATTTCCTGTATTTTCTTCTAAGAATGTTGTGTATATTTGCTTTTTTTTTTTTTTTCTTTTTGAGTCAGAGTCTCAGTTTGTCATTCAGGCTGGAGGGCAGTGGCACAGTCATGGCTCACAGTAGCCTCAATCTGCCAGGCCCAGTTGATCCTTCTACCTCAGCCTTCCAAGTAGCTGGTAACACAGGCATATACCACCATGCCTGGCTAATTATTTTTTAAATTATAGAGACAAAGTCTTGCCATGTTGCCCAGGCTGGTCTTGAACTCCTGGGCTCAGGCAGTCCTCTTGCCTCGACCTCCCGAAGTGCTGGGATTACAGTGTGAGCCACTGTGGCCAGCCTATATTTTGCTTTTATGATTAGTTCTGTGGTTCACCTTATCTTAAGTTTTGTTTACGATGTGAGGCAGGGTTCAAGGCCTATTTTTTCTGTACGGATATCAGTTTGTTCTGTCATCATTTGTTGAAGCAGTAGCTCTGATGATCACATAGAAAATGGATCATATTTGTGTCAATCTATTTTTGGACTGTCCGTTTGTTCTTTAGACATATTTTAAGTCATATTACCAATACCACCTGGATTTTGATTATTGTAACTTTATAATAAATCTTGAAGTCAGTTAGAGTAAGTCCTCCAACTATATTCTTTTTTAAAAATTGTTAGACTATTCTAGGTCATTTTCTTTGCAAATTCATTTTAGAGTCAATTTCTTGATATCTTTTTTTAAAATATGCTAGGTTTTTTATTGGTGAAAACTGACCTCTTAGCAATATTGAGTCTTCTGGTTCATGACCATACTATGGCTTTCCGTTTTAGTGAGCTTCTCTAATTCCTGTAAGCAATGTTTTAGTGTAAACTTGTTAAGTTTACTTCTAAGCTTTTAATATTTTTAATGATGCTATGGTAAATGTAGAATTTTTAAATTTCTTTTTCCAGTTTCTTGCTAAAAAAAACCAAACAAACGGTTTGATATATTAACTTTGCATACTTCTCTGTTTGTATTAGGTTTTATTGTTGTTATTTAGTATATTCCTTTAGATTTTCTACATAAAAGACATGCCTTCTAGAAATAAAGACATTGCACTAGAACATTTGCAAACTTTATTACTTTCATTTCTTTTTTCTTACTCTGTTATACTGACTGGGATCTACAATACAGTGTTGAATTGAAGTAGTGAAAATGAATATTCTCCACAGTTCACTAAATCTGGAAGAAAGATATTTAATTTTTCATTCTTAAGCCAAATATTAGCTGTAGGTTTTTCATAAATACTCTTTATTAGATTCTTTAGATAGTTTTCTGACAGTTTTAATTATGAATGGGTATTGATTTTAACAAATGCTTTTTGTGCATCTAATGAAATGATCATATTTTTCTTCTTTAATCCCTTACTGTGCTCTATTACAATGATCAATTTGAATTTTAAAGCAACCTTGGAATCCTGAGATGAACCTTACTTGGACAAAATGTATTATCCTTCTTAGGTTACTGAAATAGACTTGCTAGTATTTTGGTAAGTTTTTATGCATTATTTAACAAGGGATATTGGACTGTAGTTTTCTGGTAATGGCCATGAAAAGTTTTTCTATCAGAGTAGTGTAAGCCATATCAAGCAAACCGGGGCTACTTTTTCTTCTTCTATTTTCTTATAGAAGTTGTATAAGATTAGTATTATTGCTTTACTAGATGTTTAATAAAAATCATTACTATGCCACCTGGGCCTGCATTGTATTAATAATTTAAGACTTCTACTTCTAGACCTGAGGAAGTAATGGAATCTGGAATTAACTTTATAGGAAACAACTAGAAAGCTGGACAAAATTATTTTCACATATTCAACAGGAAGCACAGGCCTTGATTCCTGAGAGAATAACAAAATAAACAAATTAGATGAATCCTGCTTTATTCCAGACTTTTATGTGAAGACATCCAGACTACAATGCAGAGAGAGAAGTCCAAAAAGAACCTGGCCATTTTACTGACTTGGGACTGACGTTGGAGCTCAGGGAGGTTGTGGTGGCTAGAACTTGCAGAATACACTTCCCAAGAAGAAGAGTTATTCAGAGAATTCTACAAATCTGGAAAGGGCTACCCTTGAATCTTTGGCCAAATACAAGCCTACAAATGTACAGGTGAAACCCCATGAAGCTAGACAAAGTAATGTTCTAAGTAAAATACAATTTTGTGTTGTAAGACAAACAATTCCCATTGGCCATTCTGGTAGTATATGGTGTTGTAAGACAAATAATTTCCATTGCTTACTGTACCGGGAATTATTTTACTTCTTTCCAACCAGAGTGGAGTGAGCTTATTAATACACAGGACAGTAGAAACACATGCCAAATGAGGCTAGATTAGCCATAGATTAAAAATTGTGCAAGATTTGTCATAAAAGGACTTAAACAAAAGCATTAAAAGGATTAAACCAATCTATATATAACTGCAATATGTCTGTTGGGTCCTCCAGGATAGAGATGCAAGATGAAATTAGTATTACATGTTTCTTAGAGGTATTGTCTATGAAAGATAAAAAGAGAAGAAAGCAAAACTGGGTCTAGAAAGACAAAAGATCATGATACCTATCTGACACCTATGGAAAGAAAAAGAGAGTCAAACAGGATTTGTCAGGGAGAGCTTCACACCATTATGTACATCTGAAAAAGTCTCAGCCAACCTAACAGGGCAGTCAGAAACAAAGATGTCCATTAGAGGAGTCTCCCATTGGCAGAATGTTCCGTCATAGAATGGGGACAACCTGGAAAGAACCTGGGTTAGTTCAAAATCTGAGGAGCGTTC